AAGGAACGATCCAGTAAGGCTGGAGAAAGGTTACTGGAACAAAGAAGAACAAGTTAGAAGGGCGTCGGAGTGTTTTTCGGCGTATCCCCTCCAACGATCAAGTCAGTCTTTGAGAGAGAGAGGAAGAAGAAAACACTGAGTGTGTATTGTAGCAAAGGTTTTTTGTTGCATACCGTCTTGCCTTTTACGAGGAGTATTTATACCTCAAAAGCTCATGATTGATGTCAGTGTAGTCAGTAGGTGATCATTAGTTACAGGCAGTGTGCGCACTGATTCTGATGAGGAATGTCTTCTCTTCTTTAACTGCTCGGGGTCCCGAGCAATCAATGCTGTGTCATCGAGCTGCCGACTGTCCAATGAGCTCCTCTCGGGGAGGATGCAATAAATACCCAGCCTTAGAGATATTTATTGTTTTTCAATTCCGAGCCTTACCGCATTGAATGCGGTCTCATCAAGGGAATGATGTAATTAAATGTTTGCTTTCCCAAGTCGCGTGTCAGCAAGGGCATGCGGTCTTTTCTGTCTCTGATGTGACACAATTTGCCACGCGTCCATCCCTCATTAGCTGTGGACCCTGCCTTCCTGTGCCTTCTGACACCAATTGTGTAAGACGAGACCGTGATAACTAACCTAGACTATCCTAGGCTAATGACCTGTACATCAATAGCTTATACTGGAGCAGAGAAAAGGCATCTTAGACGGGGGTACATCTCGGTACCGAGGAAAAGTACTTCTCGAGCCGAGGGGAGCTGTACATGACGACCGAGGTATCATATCAGACCGAGGGATACGTGTCGGTTCGTAAAACGTACTTGACTATGTGTCAAGTACCTCAGGGGCGAGGGAGTTGTAAGCCGATGGTACGTGATCTCAGTAACAGGATTTTTAGTAACGCCAAGGACACGTGTCTTCATTTTGGAGTATTTCAGAAAAGTCCCATCAGGTGTCAACCCAATTTAGTAAGACCACNTCTTGGTCTACATAAATAGGAGATCCATCCATGCGACTTTTGCAGATAGAGTAAAGGAACGAAACAACTTATTCCAAAGCTACATGTCCACAGCCTTTCCAGGACACCCATACCTTGTGCAGCCATTAACTGACTTATTTGGTGTTGTGCGTGCAGGATCTTGCACAATATAAAAAATGAGAACAGATTTCTCCTTTGGTGAACTCGAGTGAGTCAGTTGAGTGGTCAACCACGCTGCTTGGGACAGCCTGTGAGGTCCGGTGATAACCTGGAACGGCAACGGGAGGCCCTCGTGGATTGAAGGAACGATCCAGTAAAGCTGGAGAAAGGTTCCTAGAACAAAGAAGAACAAGTTAGAAGGGCGTCGGAGTATTTTCCGGCGTATCCCCTCCGACGATCAAGTCAGTCTTTGAGAGAGAGAGGAAGAAGAAAACACTGAGTGTGTATTGTAGCAAAGGTTTTTGTGTTGCATACCGTCTTGCCTTTTATGAGGAGTATTTATACCTCAAAAGCTCATGATTGCTGTCAGTATTGTCAGTAGGTGATCATTAGGTATAGGCAGTGTGCGCACTGATTCTGATGAGGAATGTCTTCTCTTCTTTAACTGATCGGAGTCCCGAGCAATCAATGCTGTGTCATCGGGCTGCTGACTGTCCAATGAGCTCCACTCGGGGAGGATGCAATAAATGCCCAGCCTTAGAGACATTTATTGTCTTTCAATTCCGAGCCTTACCGCATTGAATGCGGTCTCATCAAGGGAATGGTGTAATTAAATGTTTGCTTTCCCAAGTCGCGTGTCAGCAAGGACATGCGGTCTTTTCTGTCTCTGATGTGACACAATTTGCCACGCGTCCATCCCTCATTTACTGTGGACCCTGCCTTCCTGTGCCTTCTGACACCAATTGTGTAAGACGAGACCGTGATAACTAACCTAGACTATCCTAGGCTAATGACCTGTACATCAATAGCTTATACTGGAGCAGAGAAAATGCATCTTAGACGGGGGTACATCTCGGAACCGAGGATAGGTACATCTCGAGCCGAGGGGAGCTGTACATGACGACCGAGGTATCATATCAGACCGAGAGATACGTGTCGGTTCGTAAAACGTACTTGACTATGTGTCAAGTACCTCAGGGGCGAGGGAGTTGTAAGTCGATGGTACGTGATCTCAATAACAGGATTTTTAGTGACGCCGAGGACACATGTCTTCGTCTTGAAATATTTCAGAAAAGTCGCATCACGTGTCAACCCAATTTAGTAAGACCAGGTGATTCAGGATGATCACTTACTTGATAGATGGATAAACTGTTCCTCATTCTTTAGAGACCTCAAACATCTCTACTCCACCGACCGGCCAACCAACGAACCAAACCCCTAATGCTGAGCTGAGTAGGTCTTTTATATATGCATGCGGCCATCCCATTTGCATTATTTATGTGATTTACTATCACCCCATTTTGCAACCATCATCATTTGCACCATTTTTATAGTCATTGTCAGCTACTTGCTCATGACAGGAAGAAGGGCCATGAATGTCTAAGCACTGTTCAAAGCCCATGGTAATAGCCACCGCCCTTATATATATTTATTTATGAATCTTTTAAAAAATTTGGGATATATTATAGTCAGCAGCTAGGGCTAGTTGCCTAGATTTATTATATAATAAATGGTTAAATAAACATTATGACTAGTCCAAAGGAGATTTGGTGAGCAGATCCTAACATAGTTGGTGAAGAGTTTGGTCAGAGTTATATCTCTCAGCCAGCCACGTTATACGCCACTACCAATTAGCAGAGCCTACACTACATGAAACTCCAGATTAGAATGCAAGGTGAACCTCCCAAATGCCAATGTGATTCCATTCTTTCCCAGCTCCTCATTTACCACCACGCATAAAATACACCGGTTTATTCTCCCTTTTTTCAATAAAAATAAACAAAAAAATCTACCAATTAATATGCATGTTCTACCATGTCCATAAATTTCTCAGAAACTACGCTGAAAAGCAAACAAGGAAGAAGACTGATACCTCAAACCCGATTAGAGAATAAGAATACCATGCAGAGTTATCTTGCAGAAAACTATCATCAAAGAAGGACAGAAAAAACAACACAAGTTACACGATCCAGTTCATTCTTCCGGGGAAAATTCCCTTTTTCTTTCCCTATTAGCCAAAGAGAGTAAAAATTCCAGCCTTCTTATAATGATGGATAACATATGAATCTCTCACTACATGATCCAAGAAAGTTTTGGTGCAACGGCCAATCTCCTTCCCTGGTTTTTTAATCATCATCTGCACCAGAGTCCACAGGGAAAATTATAGCAAAAAATGTTGTTGCTAGACTGAATATTTGTTGTTTCGGTTGATGAAAACCGTAAACAGTATTCAATGAGACGTTTAAAAAGAGGATTAAGCCACTGATCAAAACATATCAGATTGCTACATGTAGCAGTAACATAATATGAGATGAACCACATATAAAAATTCAGAATTGATAGCCACCTTAAATCTTGTCCTCCACCATGAAGCATAAAGTACTTCATTTTTTAAGGACTACCAAAAATTATTAGAAGTATCAGAAATTGCTATCTAAAGAATAACTTATCTGCTGTGAAAATTTAGGTAATGAAAGCTCTCTATTATTGCTTCCATACCTAACCAGCCAAAGGACCCTTAGAAAAGCTAAACTCATTACGTATTCACACAAAAGATGCTACTAAACTATAGATCACATACATGATATGGGAGAAGAAAACAATATATCACATCATTTGAGGACAGAAGAAATTATACAAGAACAGTAATGGAGTAAACAATGTCAAGCTTTACCAATTTCAATTGACCAAAAACTATGTTTGATGGAATTACCATTTGACAGGTCAACATGTACGAAGAAACTCGCAGCAACAATCAGATAGCATAGAATAAGCATCAACCCTTTGAAATAGTTTGATGTCCCTTCCTGCAGCAATTGAAGCAATGATTATGAATTCTTGATCCATAAGCAATATTTCATGTATGATAGCATACACATCACATGACCACAGAGATAACGCTCTACCTACAATAAATCTATGTCGAGCCCACTGTAAATTCAAAGGAAAGATTGGTACAAATACAACATGGGAACAGGTACTTTTGGTATCTGCAGTCATTGCACCAGTCATGACTCATCTTTGAGAATAAACTGCACTCCAATGCACAAGCCTCTCCAACTTGGAAAGACGGAGGAGTTTGGTTGACACTGGCCTTCACACTGCAGAACGGATATCAATTCCGCTCAATTCATTACAAGTTTCTTGAAACCAATACTCACCAAGGACAGCAGAGTCGGAACTTAGCTGTCCCTTTAACCTAATCCATGGCACAATAACCTTGTAACTCATTATTCAGTAACTTTCAGCGCTCACCATACTTATTAGTCATTACTAACAGAAGAAATTTCATAAGAGCATGAGGGTTTATTATACCACCTTTGTTTCTAGACGGACAGATGCTATTGTGTGGATCTGATATTAGCAAAGCCAGTCAACAGTGAGGACCCTCAAGGTGGAATGCACTAGAATGCTTCCAATAAACCCGATCTCCACACAACAGCATTAGGTATGGTTAGCTAGTAAAAACATATGGTTGAAGCAACCATCTATCTTTTTAGTAAAGTAAAGTAAAGAAAAGATTTTTTCTTGAATCTGAAAGAATGACATCTGATGCAACTCATAAATGGAATAAGATGATTCATCATGTGAAAGCATTGGACAATGCATGCAGAGTGTGGAAGCCGAACTAAGTAGGGGCCGTGTACAAATGACAGGTCTCCTACATATTCCATCCAAAAGCCAATTATGATATCAAAATTACAATTTCTGCCAAATAGCACTGAGAAAATCCAGGTAGATGGCCTAGATGTGGAAAGTCTTGAAACCTATTGGGCGAAACTACCACAAATTAAACATAAGCCGCTCATTTTTATTCTCTTAGATATGCCTTAACTGTGACATCATCCCATTTTACATATTCCAAATTGCAATTTGCACTTAGAACTTCCTTTGCATGTGAGTATTTAAAACTCTACAGAAAGACATCTTCAGAAACTAGTAACATTCCAGGGAAAATAAGGTAAGGTAAAATTTGGACGTCAAAGTGAAACCATTCCTTATTCATTGTGTCCCAAGACTCATTCTTTCTCTATTTATTTTCTTTTTTAACAACTAAGAATATGAATTAGAAGTTGAGAATATGCAACATAGATGACATATCTAACATGCTCTAAANTAGACTATCCTAGGCTAATGACCTGTACATCAATAGCTTATACTGGAGCAGAGAAAATGCATCTTAGACGGGGGTACATCTCGGAACCGAGGATAGGTACATCTCGAGCCGAGGGGAGCTGTACATGACGACCGAGGTATCATATCAGACCGAGAGATACGTGTCGGTTCGTAAAACGTACTTGACTATGTGTCAAGTACCTCAGGGGCGAGGGAGTTGTAAGTCGATGGTACGTGATCTCAATAACAGGATTTTTAGTGACGCCGAGGACACATGTCTTCGTCTTGAAATATTTCAGAAAAGTCGCATCACGTGTCAACCCAATTTAGTAAGACCACGTGATTCAGGATGATCACTTACTTGATAGATGGATAAACTGTTCCTCATTCTTTAGAGACCTCAAACATCTCTACTCCACCGACCGGCCAACCAACGAACCAAACCCCTAATGCTGAGCTGAGTAGGTCTTTTATATATGCATGCGGCCATCCCATTTGCATTATTTATGTGATTTACTATCACCCCATTTTGCAACCATCATCATTTGCACCATTTTTATAGTCATTGTCAGCTACTTGCTCATGACAGGAAGAAGGGCCATGAATGTCTAAGCACTGTTCAAAGCCCATGGTAATAGCCACCGCCCTTATATATATTTATTTATGAATCTTTTAAAAAATTTGGGATATATTATAGTCAGCAGCTAGGGCTAGTTGCCTAGATTTATTATATAATAAATGGTTAAATAAACATTATGACTAGTCCAAAGGAGATTTGGTGAGCAGATCCTAACATAGTTGGTGAAGAGTTTGGTCAGAGTTATATCTCTCAGCCAGCCACGTTATACGCCACTACCAATTAGCAGAGCCTACACTACATGAAACTCCAGATTAGAATGCAAGGTGAACCTCCCAAATGCCAATGTGATTCCATTCTTTCCCAGCTCCTCATTTACCACCACGCATAAAATACACCGGTTTATTCTCCCTTTTTTCAATAAAAATAAACAAAAAAATCTACCAATTAATATGCATGTTCTACCATGTCCATAAATTTCTCAGAAACTACGCTGAAAAGCAAACAAGGAAGAAGACTGATACCTCAAACCCGATTAGAGAATAAGAATACCATGCAGAGTTATCTTGCAGAAAACTATCATCAAAGAAGGACAGAAAAAACAACACAAGTTACACGATCCAGTTCATTCTTCCGGGGAAAATTCCCTTTTTCTTTCCCTATTAGCCAAAGAGAGTAAAAATTCCAGCCTTCTTATAATGATGGATAACATATGAATCTCTCACTACATGATCCAAGAAAGTTTTGGTGCAACGGCCAATCTCCTTCCCTGGTTTTTTAATCATCATCTGCACCAGAGTCCACAGGGAAAATTATAGCAAAAAATGTTGTTGCTAGACTGAATATTTGTTGTTTCGGTTGATGAAAACCGTAAACAGTATTCAATGAGACGTTTAAAAAGAGGATTAAGCCACTGATCAAAACATATCAGATTGCTACATGTAGCAGTAACATAATATGAGATGAACCACATATAAAAATTCAGAATTGATAGCCACCTTAAATCTTGTCCTCCACCATGAAGCATAAAGTACTTCATTTTTTAAGGACTACCAAAAATTATTAGAAGTATCAGAAATTGCTATCTAAAGAATAACTTATCTGCTGTGAAAATTTAGGTAATGAAAGCTCTCTATTATTGCTTCCATACCTAACCAGCCAAAGGACCCTTAGAAAAGCTAAACTCATTACGTATTCACACAAAAGATGCTACTAAACTATAGATCACATACATGATATGGGAGAAGAAAACAATATATCACATCATTTGAGGACAGAAGAAATTATACAAGAACAGTAATGGAGTAAACAATGTCAAGCTTTACCAATTTCAATTGACCAAAAACTATGTTTGATGGAATTACCATTTGACAGGTCAACATGTACGAAGAAACTCGCAGCAACAATCAGATAGCATAGAATAAGCATCAACCCTTTGAAATAGTTTGATGTCCCTTCCTGCAGCAATTGAAGCAATGATTATGAATTCTTGATCCATAAGCAATATTTCATGTATGATAGCATACACATCACATGACCACAGAGATAACGCTCTACCTACAATAAATCTATGTCGAGCCCACTGTAAATTCAAAGGAAAGATTGGTACAAATACAACATGGGAACAGGTACTTTTGGTATCTGCAGTCATTGCACCAGTCATGACTCATCTTTGAGAATAAACTGCACTCCAATGCACAAGCCTCTCCAACTTGGAAAGACGGAGGAGTTTGGTTGACACTGGCCTTCACACTGCAGAACGGATATCAATTCCGCTCAATTCATTACAAGTTTCTTGAAACCAATACTCACCAAGGACAGCAGAGTCGGAACTTAGCTGTCCCTTTAACCTAATCCATGGCACAATAACCTTGTAACTCATTATTCAGTAACTTTCAGCGCTCACCATACTTATTAGTCATTACTAACAGAAGAAATTTCATAAGAGCATGAGGGTTTATTATACCACCTTTGTTTCTAGACGGACAGATGCTATTGTGTGGATCTGATATTAGCAAAGCCAGTCAACAGTGAGGACCCTCAAGGTGGAATGCACTAGAATGCTTCCAATAAACCCGATCTCCACACAACAGCATTAGGTATGGTTAGCTAGTAAAAACATATGGTTGAAGCAACCATCTATCTTTTTAGTAAAGTAAAGTAAAGAAAAGATTTTTTCTTGAATCTGAAAGAATGACATCTGATGCAACTCATAAATGGAATAAGATGATTCATCATGTGAAAGCATTGGACAATGCATGCAGAGTGTGGAAGCCGAACTAAGTAGGGGCCGTGTACAAATGACAGGTCTCCTACATATTCCATCCAAAAGCCAATTATGATATCAAAATTACAATTTCTGCCAAATAGCACTGAGAAAATCCAGGTAGATGGCCTAGATGTGGAAAGTCTTGAAACCTATTGGGCGAAACTACCACAAATTAAACATAAGCCGCTCATTTTTATTCTCTTAGATATGCCTTAACTGTGACATCATCCCATTTTACATATTCCAAATTGCAATTTGCACTTAGAACTTCCTTTGCATGTGAGTATTTAAAACTCTACAGAAAGACATCTTCAGAAACTAGTAACATTCCAGGGAAAATAAGGTAAGGTAAAATTTGGACGTCAAAGTGAAACCATTCCTTATTCATTGTGTCCCAAGACTCATTCTTTCTCTATTTATTTTCTTTTTTAACAACTAAGAATATGAATTAGAAGTTGAGAATATGCAACATAGATGACATATCTAACATGCTCTAAAAGAGCTAGAGATGAGTATGAAAGAACAGATACATACATGTGTGTGTGTGTGTGTGTGTGAGAGAGAGAGAGAGAGAGAGAGTGAAACCTGCAGCATAAATGCCACCACTAGAACTGTGATAAAGAGCGTAGCAGTCTCAAAAAGTTGGAAATTCAAGTCCATAGGCTCTCCCATGAGCCAGCCAACAACTACACAAAAGGGAATCTGCATTTAACAAATACGCAGCATTCGTAAGACCATTCTCTCCTGAAACATTACTCTAGTACAAAACATTAGTTCAACCACTCAGTCTTATACATGCCTGCAGAAAATAAGTTTAGCATAACTTATCAGAAATGGGGAAAGAAAGGAGGTTTATTTTTCTTCACAGGAAATAAAGTTGGAAGTAGTTAACAGAAACCGTTCAAATCAATGATCAAAATGGATTTTGAGGTCTTACCACAAACATTGATATCTGAGTCGAGGAACCTATCGCAACTCCAAGGGTGATATCCTGTCCAAGAATACAGTTAAATTAACTGAATTGACAAAAGTAGGAAATGATTGGTATGATTTTTCGGCACTCACAAGCTTGTCTTTCATGGCAAACATAATAGCACTCGCATGTTCTGCAGCATTCCCTACAATTGGCAGCAAGATGACACTGATAAAAGACACAGGCATGTTCAAGGAGTCGGATGCTCCCTGAAAAGTTACCAGCGATATTTAGTCAAGATGACTGTTTCTAGAGTTCAGCTAAGTTTCCAAGATAGTAACTATACAAAAAGTGTCTCCATAAACTAACACAATTCAAAATAATGTCCATCTCCAATGTTGGAAATGAAGCCAAATTGTTTTTGAAACTTCAATATTTTCTACCAAATTTATCTAATACCATAATAAAACAATATCCCAGAAATATTGGGACAAGGCTTTGTTGAGTTGAGAAAAAAATAATCATGCATGCATCCCTCTCATGATAACATCTTGAACTTCGTGAACTTCATATTAATAGTAGGAAGAATTATAAATTTTTTTGCATGATTACATAAAGATTGCATGACACATCAATCATCTAGATTGAGCTACGGATTATAGCAATCAACCTAATAGTTTAGCAATTCAAAAAAGTTCATGAGGTAGAAGATAGAACAGTTCCAATTTTTCCCATTTGTAAATAGTCCAAATGCATGCAAGTTACTGAAGTGAATCTTGTCTCACAGGTCTTACCTGTATGGCATCAACAAGATATCCAGACAGTATAGAAATCCAGAGAGTCAAAATAGCAAGCCACCCAACTGCTTCCCACTGTGTAATCTCAGGGACTTCTTCTTCATCAGAATCTTCGGTACTATTTTCTCTCTCCTGCAACGGATGCCAGAGTAATGTTAGAGAACAGTCGAAGCATCCTTGTGACTGTACAGAGTTATCTCACAAAAATATACCAGCCGTAATCTATCAAGTTCGAGCTTTGTAAGATTTGCACATAGCACACTATTATGCCACAAGCCACATATGCATGTGATCACTTTAAGCGTTATACAATATACATGGTATCAAAGAAGTAATGAAGAATACCAAACAGGCAAACCAAGTGGCAATCATGTACGTTCCCATAGTTAATATTAAAACTCCAGTTACATACCACATCTTCAAACAAAACTCAACAAAAAGACTAACCTCACCAATAGCACTATAAAGATTACTTTGACTCTTAAGCTGAAAGAAAAGATAACTTGCATATGCCACCAGCATTATACAGCTGCTAAATCTTGAAAGAGACATCTCTGACTTCCCAAAATGTGCTTCTGTACGTGTGAAGTGAAGCACTGCTGGAAATAATAGTCCCATAACAGCCATCAACAACAATCCTGAGTTCACCAGGGCAGCTGCCTGCAACATTTTAACATAAATTGGTTTTTTTGTTTTACTTGAGCAGAGGATAGTATAAGCTAATTCCACTCAAAAAGCTCATTCCGCCGTCATGAAGAAACTTTTTAGCAGATTATGATCATCTACCTTATTGAAAACCTGAACTTTCTGGTAATGAATGATCCCACCACTGAAAAAGGCACATCCAAGCACTAGTAACATATTCGACAAGATGGAACCCAGTAATGATTGCTGAACAACCCTAATCATCCCATTCTTCAATGCATATATCGAAATTATCATTTCTGTCGCATTGCCAAATGTAGCATTTAGAAGGCCACCGACTGCAAATCCAACCAAAAAACACTCTTCATGGCACAGAAAACCATACTTACATAAGGACAGTATGCGAAGAATAACTTCTATTTGGCAAGTTATTTCTAATTTTAAATTTATCAGTACAGATAGGCACATGGAAATGCACATGCATGACACAAATACATAAATATGGAAGTTCTAGGAATAATCATTGATCTAGGAATTCAAACGTCATATAATATTTTGGTACCTTACCAAATAGGTCTTAATTGGAATATTGAACAGGTCAATTAGAATTTTTACAGTCAAGAAATCCCATTGTATTGGTAGTTCTTCGAAAGGAGAGAGAACAGAGGAAATAATATCTCACTGGCATGTAATTTCCATATGCACAATATAAGAAATCGTTATATCAAAATTATGTCTTATATATCAAAATAATACCCACATCAATACATATAGACATATATTTAAACAATATAAGAAATCGTTACCTTTTGATCAGCAAATCATATTGCTATTTTTCTTAAAAACTTCAATATGATTACTTTTGAAAACTTTACATTTATCCATAATATAATTCTTATAATTCAAATGAATTTTCAATTTTCGACAACACACATTAACAGGTTTCCAAAAAGGGTCAGAGATATTGCCAAAGTAGTGTCGAACATATGTTTGCAATTAAGATACTATTTCTCACTTATGGAAACTACCAAAAGAGTATCAGATACGTCTCTGAGAGTATGATAAGAGTCGGTCCAACAATTGTCCTACTTAGAAGCATGCGTGCTTATTAGCAATTAATAAAAGAATACAACTAAAGTGAGGGCTTCCCTGAGTCAATTGACAGGTCTAATTCAATAAAATGGGCAACAAAGCTCAATTCTCATATGTTAAGTTTAGAGAGTTAACACAATATTAGAGAAAAACGGAGAGTGGTCAAAAACTTAACCTATCTCTCACAAACCACTTGTATTTATAGTTAAGTCATACCATACAAAAGACATGTATACCCTCTAGTGGTATAATTATTACAACTAGTATTTTCATAATACTCTTAACATCAAACATGCCAGTAAATTTACTTCAAAACAGATGGATAGCTCCCATATGCTGCATTTCCCTCATGCACACAACATATCCAAAATCAACTTTATTCTCCAGCCCGGTGAATTCGTGTGGTTAAAAAGTGCAGAGAGGCCATTAGTGAATCCGTTCACGAACTTTAGGACCAACACCAATGACATTCAAAGTTTGGTGGCTCGACGCGCCTACAACACTCATGTTCAACAGGGATTACACACATTTGCTGACATATGTGATCCCCGCTCGGTGCAAATGAGCATTTTCAAAACTAATCGGATGGCACAATAATTTTGAAATTAAACTAAGCCATGAACAAGTAAAATAGACTCAACATTCTTTAGCACAAATGGAAAAACTTGGAACACAATAAATGCCTCTATGTACAATTGGAGAGGGAGAAACATGCCCAGCTGAAATGATGTATGTTGTGATCATGCACAATAGTGCCAAGGCAATCCAAAAACTTGTGTGTCATGAACATCCTGGTTTTTCATATTACTTTGTCTGTTAAAAAAAAATCATGTACCTGTAGGTCCTGTATAAAATGCAAGCTGCCTGGACCATAGTGGTAAGTGAACGAGGTGTTAGTATGTTCCATGTAAAGGAACAGAAACAAGGTATTAGTATGTTCCAAAAGAACAAAAGAATGGTAAAGGAACAAAATTGACAGGATCCTGCATTTAAATTCAACAAGCAAACACTTACTCGGTTGCATAACCCAGACGCTCTGCTAAAGGTGTAATGCCCAATAAACTGAAAATGAAGACCCATCCCTAAAATATAGAAGTGACCATCAAAGAATTAAAGCCCCACAAGAAAGGCATCAAAATCACTTTTTAGCATATTCCCTTCATTATGGAAGTGAATGACAAAAACATGGTTTAGAGAGCTATGCTTCTTACATGCTTCCTGGTAAGGTAGTGCAGCAGTATTGCAAGGGGCCCAAAAGGAAGCAAAATGTTAATCTTTGCTTTAATTAAAACGATACAAATACTCCTCATAGGGCTGATCCTATGTATCCTTTTTAAGGCCCATGTACTGAACACACTTGCACGTGATACAATGTGAGATGTCTCAAAATGCAAAGCTTGCACTTTAGCAGTGGCTTGTGATGAGCTAAAAGGTATCTCTTCATCAGATTCAAAGTCTATCTTCTCCTCAAGAGATCCCATCGGCACAGACAAGCAATCTCGCTGATGAACAAAGATGAACCCACACTTAAAATGATAAGAATCTCAACCATTTTGACAAAGCAATTCACTATTGGAGGATTGATTCGCTAACATCAATTCAATAAACCAAAGGGAATGCTTCGTGATAAACATAGGACTATAACTACAACTACAAAGGATAGTTTGAAAAGTAGATGCTTCGAACCAAAGTCCATTGAACTCAAATTATTTGTCTTACATGCAATTTTTTTGTATTTACACAAAAAATACACTCTAGAAATCAAGCAAAAGAAAATTAGTACAAAAGGAACTCCTGGAATGTTTACTGTTTTATTTCTGGAGGGTAAGCCACTTGTATTAACACATCATGGAGATACACCAATGGAATTCAGCACCTTCGCCATTTATATGAACAATTCTTCAGAAAACCTGACACCTATAGAGAGCGATTTGGCCATGATTCAGCGTACAATCATTTCTACTTTAGGAAACGTATCTGGAAATTATTCAAGCCTAATATGACCCGGAAAAAAAAAATCATTAATCCAGTGTATGTAACTAAGTATTTAGTGATAATGCTAGTATCTAAAAGCCGTTTTCCCGAAGAAAGGAAAGATCCTTCTAGAAAGGAAATAAGTTCTTTTGCAAAATGAAACCTGCCTTAGTAACTAAATTATCACTTCACAAAGCAATGGCTAGCAGCCGAAAGCTGCCAAGTGAAGCGTGGCATCAACTCCACGACAAGCTAAGTGGTGGACTGACTACTGGAGCGAAAACAGGATAATAAAAGCATAGGAATGGGATCAGCCGACAGCAGACTAAAACAGCTAGTCAAATTGCGCAATTATAACCAAGAACAGTAGAATAAAACTAGCAGATTAAACAATGACAAGGTTTCCATCAATCCTTACAGAGACAGATCAAGGATTGTAAACAAATACAGAGAGATTACATAGTTGTACCTGCGGAGAAACACACTTGGACGACAAAAGCTCAGAACTAGATTCACCAGAAAACCTAACCCAACTTGTATGTGATTTGAAATGACTGACTGTAGTACTACTTTTTAACTGATCCACGGACTCGGTCTTGGCCCGTAGATAGTGGGATGGAATCGACTTAAAACAACGACATACACGTAAAATATATGTTTATTATATTATATTATATACAATGTATAGGGAAGTGGAAGGTCTTTTCCCTGCTCAGCGAGGTAGTGGAGTTGGGCAGTGTTGTCTTCCTTCTTAGTTGAGAGAGAGAGAGAGGTTCTGCGAGAGTAGCGCTGAAGTTAAATTTGATTAATAATACAGTAATTCGTTTGCTGCTAAATTTGAGGATTTGTTCCGGCAGTAATAGAATAGATTAGAATATAAATAGTTGGAATGGAAGTGGTATGCGGTACGAGTACAAAGTACGCTGAAAAGTTTTGTCACAAAAAATCAACAACACATTGTCATGTGAAAATTATGTACATCCAAATTTCTGCATNGGAATGGAAGTGGTATGCGGTACGAGTACAAAGTACGCTGAAAAGTTTTGTCACAAACAATCAACAACACATTGCCATGTGAAAATTATGTACATCCAAATTTCTGCATCATTATAAATTTAAAATATATACGTAGAATTGTTGTTATTAGTGTCGTCTCAAATTTGTATAATATATTTAATTAGTATTATGTCAAAATTTATTTGGGCCCAAATATAAATTATGTTTAATTGAATTTATATTGTGTAATTTATTTGATATGAGTTTGACTTATCAATCAAATTAAATTTTATTTGTTAATTTTATGTCAATTTCATATCAAATTCGACGGCGGCGATGATTGTTGTCAAAATGACATATNTTAGTATTATGTCAAAATTTATTTGGGCCCAAATATAAATTATGTTTAATTGAATTTGTATTGTGTAATTTATTTGATATGAGTTTGACTTATCAATCAAATTAAATTTTATTTGTTAATTTTATGTTAATTTCATATCAAATTCGACGATGATGATGATTGTTGTCAAAATGACATACNCACTTAGACCTGGTAACCCCAGTCCCCATCTCATAAACATGATTTTTACACACACACACTAAAAATGTAGTTTTAGTCCCAACGCAAACAAAATTTCNTGATTGTTGTCAAAATGACATACGGAGACAAAATGTTTAGGCCCAATCCAACTTGTGCCCGCCTCCACCCGAAAGCACTGATGTATGTACATTATTTTTTATAGTTTTCAGTAAAACACAAAAGGCTCATTCATGGCAATTGAACTAAACACAGCAATAGCCACCGACAGTTCTTGAATAATTGAAGTGGGTTTCATCATTCATCAGGTGGACTTTTATTTCTAAGCGGCAAGTGGTGATCCAAATCCCACATTGGANTTCACACGCACACACCCACACATTGAATATAGAAAATTCTCCTAAAAGAAGTAGTAAACTACTCAGTTTGATTTCCAAAATCTAATTCAAAGAACTCTTGTCCAACCTCAATGCAATCATCACCTAATCTAAAATAACATATAACAATCAATCCATTTTTTAACTTCGTNGACAATAAAGTTTTGGAGTTTTTAATTTTTATTGTATAACCAACCCATTATAAAAATATACGGGCCTAAAAAAAAATGATAAATACATACATACTCATTTCACAACAGGAACTNGACAATAAAGTTTTGGAGTTTTTAATTTTTATTGTATAACCAACCCATTATAAAAATGTACGGGCCTAAAAAAAAATGATAAATACATACATACTCATTTCACAACAGGAACCNATCAATCCATTTTTTAACTTCGTTATTTTGTGATGCTATATTTAATTTTTATATTTCTCACCCATTAATATATATACTTAATATATATTTTAGATATAAAATATCCTTTCTAATATGAGATAATAGGGTATGGAAGTATTCTGGGCTGTTTGAAAAAAGTTTCTAAATTTTTGTGGCTAAATCATAATTTTTGAAATTTTTGGGGTCAAAGTGTAATTTTTTTAAAAAACTAATTTTCTGTTTTTGGGACTGCCATAAATTTTATAGAATAGTATTTAAGGTTCTAGAGACCCATTTTTCAAGAATACAATCTCAATTTGATTTATTAGAGTAACTATTGATTTTTAAACACTTAATCGAAACTTTTAGGGGTCGTTTCAATATTTCAAAAAATTTTCAAGACATTGGGTTGTTTTGAAATGACTATATTTGTTTCAAACATATTGGGTCAGTTCTATAAATTACCAAGTTCCAAGGTAGTCAAAAATTGAGTTTATAAAAGTATAGAGATCAAAATAAAATTACTTAAAACAAAGGGGGATGTTTTCATAATTTCAAAACTTTATCTTCTTCAACCTTACGATCCAAAAGCTTTTGGTCCGTACTTTTCTTTCTTCCCCTTCTCAATCTCTTCTTAACACAAATACCACCCNTCATCTCTTTCTCTCTCTTCATAGATGGCCTTCTTTGCGCTCTTCATAGCCGTATAATTCGGCGAGTCTCCGGCCACATTCTCACAAGAATGTCAGTTTTTTGCGACCTCGCTGCCACAACACTCCCATTTCTCCTCACAAGTTCTCATTTCACGTTTCGCTCACAAAGCATCTCTATTTTCTCTCTCTAGAAAATCTATATCTCTGCATGAAATCTCTGGCACTTCGATATGTCAGAGCTAGCAATTTTTTGATGCTGCGAGCTTTTTAAGTCTTTGCAGTACTTTTAGAGTTCCTCCTTTTTGCCCTCTCGTTTGATCTCGGTTTTTCGTAAGTGAATTGAATTGAATTGAATTCGATTCTCTTTCTATTTTTTTGTTTAAATCAACAATGTTTAACTATAAACACTGCCATGTACTTCAATTATAGCTCATTTTACCAAGGAAAAAAGGTTTTCCTATTAATTTTGTATTAGTTTACTTTTCTTATTATGGATTTGGTTGGAATTATATGAATTTCAGCTTTTTCTTTGGTTTTTGGCCTTTTGAACCTATATTGTACACCCCTATCCCGGATCACATTGGGTGGGCGGCGGATCAGCCATCAAGACCTTAACCAACTAACCATGTGCATAATAAATGTAAAATACAGTGGAAGACAAATAATAAAGTGATCCAATTCATCGACCTAATGAATACTAAAAGAATAAGTTCTCAAAATAATTGAATATTTGTCTCAAAACTATAAAAGATATTTATTCCTGAAAACTTACAATAAAATAAATTTTTAATTCTTTTAACCCCTTGTCTATCTAAGAACTTACTCCCCCCCTGATCTTCACCTGAAAAATGTTAAATGTTTGGATGAGCACAAAGACCCATGAATAGTAACCACCTCTAATGAGGTGTGAAAATAAATCTCAGAGTTTATATATAAAAATAAACTTTGATACACACATAAGTACAACAAATTGTACCTCAACCCCTCCCACATAATCATTTAAACAAAATGATATCATGATCACAAATAATTTTATAAATGAAAAGATATTTATAACCCAAAACACTAACACACACATTCAGTTCCAAATACATTTGTCAAATCATGTTTGTTATCACTAGCCTGGTAACCGGCCCAGTCTTTTGTCATCACTAAGTTGANAACTACAACTACAAAGGATAGTTTGAAAAGTAGATGCTTCGAACCAAAGTCCATTGAACTCAAATTATTTGTCTTACATGCAATTTTTTTGTATTTACACAAAAAATACACTCTAGAAATCAAGCAAAAGAAAATTAGTACAAAAGGAACTCCTGGAATGTTTACTGTTTTATTTCTGGAGGGTAAGCCACTTGTATTAACACATCATGGAGATACACCAATGGAATTCAGCACCTTCGCCATTTATATGAACAATTCTTCAGAAAACCTGACACCTATAGAGAGCGATTTGGCCATGATTCAGCGTACAATCATTTCTACTTTAGGAAACGTATCTGGAAATTATTCAAGCCTAATATGACCCGGAAAAAAAAAATCATTAATCCAGTGTATGTAACTAAGTATTTAGTGATAATGCTAGTATCTAAAAGCCGTTTTCCCGAAGAAAGGAAAGATCCTTCTAGAAAGGAAATAAGTTCTTTTGCAAAATGAAACCTGCCTTAGTAACTAAATTATCACTTCACAAAGCAATGGCTAGCAGCCGAAAGCTGCCAAGTGAAGCGTGGCATCAACTCCACGACAAGCTAAGTGGTGGACTGACTACTGGAGCGAAAACAGGATAATAAAAGCATAGGAATGGGATCAGCCGACAGCAGACTAAAACAGCTAGTCAAATTGCGCAATTATAACCAAGAACAGTAGAATAAAACTAGCAGATTAAACAATGACAAGGTTTCCATCAATCCTTACAGAGACAGATCAAGGATTGTAAACAAATACAGAGAGATTACATAGTTGTACCTGCGGAGAAACACACTTGGACGACAAAAGCTCAGAACTAGATTCACCAGAAAACCTAACCCAACTTGTATGTGATTTGAAATGACTGACTGTAGTACTACTTTTTAACTGATCCACGGACTCGGTCTTGGCCCGTAGATAGTGGGATGGAATCGACTTAAAACAACGACATACACGTAAAATATATGTTTATTATATTATATTATATACAATGTATAGGGAAGTGGAAGGTCTTTTCCCTGCTCAGCGAGGTAGTGGAGTTGGGCAGTGTTGTCTTCCTTCTTAGTTGAGAGAGAGAGAGAGGTTCTGCGAGAGTAGCGCTGAAGTTAAATTTGATTAATAATACAGTAATTCGTTTGCTGCTAAATTTGAGGATTTGTTCCGGCAGTAATAGAATAGATTAGAATATAAATAGTTGGAATGGAAGTGGTATGCGGTACGAGTACAAAGTACGCTGAAAAGTTTTGTCACAAAAAATCAACAACACATTGTCATGTGAAAATTATGTACATCCAAATTTCTGCATCATTATAAATTTAAAATATATACGTAGAATTGTTGTTATTAGTGTCGTCTCAAATTTGTATAATATATTTAATTAGTATTATGTCAAAATTTATTTGGGCCCAAATATAAATTATGTTTAATTGAATTTATATTGTGTAATTTATTTGATATGAGTTTGACTTATCAATCAAATTAAATTTTATTTGTTAATTTTATGTCAATTTCATATCAAATTCGACGGCGGCGATGATTGTTGTCAAAATGACATATGGAGACAAAATGTTTAGGCCCAATCCAACTTGTGCCCG